GTCTTCTCAAAATATAATTATCTAAGGTGTTTCTTAAGAAAATAACACACAATATGATGTGAATGATGACACTAAAATATTCAACAAAAGCAATAATGAAATCACATAAAATAAATAAGTCATAATGAAAATGACCATAATTTTAAAGTACTAAATCATGCCAAAATAAGTCTAATGAGAATTAATTATATGACTAAACATTAAAAAGAACTAAAATTAGGTTATATATTTTAATTATCTAAATAAATATATAACTAAAGAACAAATATTCAACATTATTATTACTCTTAGTATTTGAGTTGATTTTTTTTGTTGCCAATGATATTGATTTGGTTTTGATTTGAACTTTGTTAGAGCTCATATTTATGGAATATAACCTTTATTGGACTATTCAAAATTCTAAGTTAAAATTGAAGTAATATGTTATAAGATGAAAATATAAGAAATATTTATAAATTATATCAAAGTAAATACTTTTATGTATAAAATAATTTTAAAAATTTATATATATATATATATATATATATATATATATATATATATATATATATATAAGATAATGAATCAACCATAAATATGGAAGGAATGAATATTCAAATACTGAAAGAAGATGACTATGAAGTAGATATATCAATAGCAAGGGCAAAAGAATTACACCAATTTAATAAAACAACATTCTTTAAATGTAAAGGTTGTATATATATATAATGTCGGATTGATTTAGTCTCGGGTTGACTTTTTAAAGCTAAAACCAAACCAACCCAATATAATCGGATTTTTCTTCTTCAATATCAAACTAAGTTAAACCAAATCACTAGTCAATTTTTTTTTCTCGATTTGCAGTTTCCGATTTGATTTTGTTCATCCTTGATCAAATAATTTATTTTTAAAAATAAAGAATAAAAAAATATAACTAACAAGAAATGTGATAGTGGTCTCAAGAAAGTTGATAGGTTTCTTTCAATATTCTTTCACATAAGTGCTCATCATGCTAATAGAAAGTGTGAGAAAATCCGAATCAAATATTTTTTGGGCAAATGGGAAGACGACAAACTGAGTCTATGGTTGACGACTTTCTTCACTTCTTTTTGTTGTCAAATCATTTCAACTATGGTATAATTACTTCATAGAATTAGCAAAGGAAAAAATAATAGTAGTAAAAATTAACTCCAAGAGTGCACGAAGTGAACACTAATGATTATAGTGCAGTAAACAACTCCTCACTATAATAATCTCACAACAAGTGGGAAAAAAAATTATTCATTAAGCAAATATATATTAATTAATTAGTCATTAAAGCTATAGTTTTAGTTAATTACTACACAAGACCAATATTCAGTGATAATTATGTGGGCTAAATTTTCGAGTTTGTATGATTCGCACGATTGTATATTCGTAATTTGTATAATGCAATTTTATATAATATAATTTGTATAACTGTTTAAAGTTCAGATATTTGTGTTTGTATAAATTAGTTATTTCGAGTTTATACAAAAATAGCTCAATTGTACAAACGTATCGGCGAATTATATATAGAAACTCCCCCGTGAATTATGTATACCCGTGAATTATACAAACAAAGCAGCTTAAACTGTAGTTACCGCCCGTAAATATGCAAACTATAACTATAGGGCATAATTAAGTTTATTACCGTGACTATTTACGAAAATTCCTAAAAAAATAGAACTCTTCGAAGCTATTGGTATTTTGAATTAAGTCAACAATATACTACTAATACGCATCGCAGAGGGGTTATTTGGTAGGAAATAAGTTATCCCGGGATTAATAATTTCGAAATAAGTTACATATATATAGAATAACTTATCTCATCATTAAGGTATAAACGGTGGATAAATAATCCAAAGATTAGAATACCACCAATCAAATGCATGATAAAATTATCTTGCATTTTATCCCAAGATTATTATACATTATACCTCATATTAAACGACTTCTTAAAGACTTAAATCGTATTTAAGCAAACCTGGAATACAATTGACTTAAGAATCAAAGAAAATTTGCAGATTATGAGGATGCATCTTGTTCTTAACTTTATAGTGGCTAAAGGTTATTAAAGAACATATACAGTAAACCTAACTTAAATTTAGATTTCATTGGGTAAGAATTGATCATATATAAAAAAAATTAATAATTCCTTCGGCTAATGTAAAACTTTCTAACACCGCGCAAACATAAGGCAAGGTTGGCTGATGGGGCAAGAATTGCTTTAGGCCCCCATAATATTTTATTTTATATACTATGTATTCGTCCATAATATAGTACTGATTGATGAGATTTGTCACGGCGGAGTTAATGATAAGCTAGAGGTTTGAAGACTAAATTTAGAGTTTAAAGAGTTTAAGTTGAGCAAGATCAAGATTGAATACTTAGGGCTCATTTGGTTGGGGAATAAGTTATTCTATAATTAATTATTTTAGGGTTAGTTATTCTAGAATTGTAACTCCACCGTACAAGAGATAGTTGGATCGTAAGACTTTCTCTCACATCCCACTCCCTTCCATGAGATAGTCAATTTTAGCATCTTTGAAGAATCATATTGAGAAAAAGAAAGAAGCCGATCATTGAATTGATTAACTTGAGATGAGAAATCTATCATGTCCGAGTTCTATGATTCGGGTTCAGCACAACAAGCAGTTTCTGTGACGGAAAAAGCGGCATCGTTGACTCCAGAGAAGTAAACGAAGGGTCGTCGGCAAGCAGCACCGACATCGACAGCGGTAGTACGATTCTATCCGTTCAAGTCTTGGTCTACCGGTGGGTCATCCTCAATGTGGGATAACAATATACAATAATCGCAGGATAAATAATCCCAGAATAAATTATCCCGCAATTTATCCCAACCAAATAAGAAATAAACTCTTCTTAAAACTAATCTCAGACTTAGTAATCCCTTATTCCTCATACAAAACGAGCCCTTAGAGTGTAAGTTTAGTGATTCTACACATGAGGTCGGCGTTGAAGTAATTCTTTCTAGTGCATGTTGTGTGTTCTTCTTATTTCACATCATTCTCTTGTTGCTATTGCTCTCATTTCTATATTCACTTCTTCAAACTGCTTGGGAATGCTTTATTTTAAATCTAGAGATTATTGAAACTAATTTTCTATCTCTACAAGGTAGATGTATGGTCCACATACGCTCTACCTTCCTTTGATTTCACTTGTGAAAACTTGGAATAATCAAGATATGTACTAGATGATCCATACAACAACATCAAAAAAGAAATCAAACAAATATATATATATATATATATATATATATATATATATATATATATATTACAGAGGTGTATCCAAGATTTTGAGATGATGGGTGCACTATTATAAAAAGGTTGATCTATGAAATAAATTTGATCGGTTCAACATTTAGGTTTTTACTACAGAAAACGGTTAAAATTTTAGGTCGGTCTAATATATATATCAATTACCACTTAGAGAAGTGTTATCTAATTTTAGAAAGAAAAAACAAGATAAATATAAATTTCAAATTTTTAACCTCGCGGAGAGAGGTGCACCCAGTCATAATCGCATTGTGTGATACTTCAAGTGTGGGTTCACACATCTATATTTCAATATATTTTTTAAAATATAACACTATTATATATGATCTCGGGAGGGGACCATGGGTTCACGTGAACCCGGTGACCCCCCTTAGATACACCTAAATATATATATATATATATATAAAATCTTTCTATTAAATAAATCTAAAGACCTTTTATTAAGATTCATGTTTAGCCACCAATTTCATTGAGCTGCCCTAGCAGAAGGTTGGATCATGAATAAATTAAGAATATGAATTGGTCCGACTCTAATATGACGTTAAAGAAGAAGAAGCATATTATGCCTGAAATTATAAAAATTATATATGAAACAACAACCTATTCAAAAACATTGTAAGAAAGAGAGAGGAGAATAATGTAGCTAGGTTGAGTAAACAGGAACATACGGTTGTTTAGTCTTGACATAGATTTTGGATGTATTGCTGCACTACAAATAGGGGAGTAGAAAGTGACTTTAGAGTCCTATTTGGCCCATTATTTAATAAGTGGACTCGGCATCTCTGTGTCAATGTCATGATGCACCAAGTATTGGTAACAAAGAATTATAAGTGTAAGTTGAGAAAGATGTGAAATACAAAAGAATCTATACTCAGTTACCACCAACACTTGTCTTTTTTTTTTTTTATCCAGTATTCAGAGTTCGCATTAGAGCCAGTGGCGGAGCCACCTAGTACTAAGGGGTTGAGCCCCTTCGTGGAAAATTACATTATTTATACATGGTTAAAATAATTTTTTTTTTATATATATATATATATAGTAGATGTCTAATCCCCTTGGCTACCTTGTGTGTCTATTTCTATAGATTTTGAACCCCCTTATTGAAAATTCTGGATTCGCCACTGATTAGAGCCCCGATTAAATACAAATTGCGCATTGCAGGGTTCATTCGGGGTGACGCTTCCAACAAAATTTTCTTCATATTCAGAATTCGAACCCGAAATGAACCCGAAATGTGTAGTTAAAGGTGAAACAATCTGATCAGTGTACCACAATCCATATTTGGTTACACTTGCCTTTTTTCACTCAAATGGTCCCCTACTGGGTACTGGTATAACCCTCACAAGTCCCCCCACCAGCAACAGCAACCACCACCAGTGTCAAGCACCATCAACAAACATCTTACCCCACCATCTCCTACCTCTTCCCTTTCCTTTCCAAAAACCTCATAAATAACTCAATGTGATGGATACACTTAGCTTGAATGTTTCTATTAACACCTTCTGCCAATCTATTTCTCTATTTTCTTTCTTATACTAGTGGAGTGAAAGGAGTATTAAGTATTATATATATTACTATTCCGTACTTCTATTGTCAGCGCTTTTTAAAAAAAAAATTATTTTATGTTTTCTTGATTACATTTCGTACTCTGTGTTCACGTTTACTACAACCACAGCAGAGTACTTCTTCTCTTTCTTTTTGGTATTTGCAATGCCAACGCCAGTTAATACTGCTAGGCAATGCTTGACGCATGAAGCTTCCATGACTCTCGACGATGCTGTAGCCATGGCAGGTCGTCGTGGCCATGCTCAAACTACATCTCTTCATTACATATCTTCCTTACTCTCTGTTCCTTCTTCATGTTTACGTGAGGCATGTTCTCGTACAAGGAACAATGCATACTCTGTTCGTGTCCAATTCAAAGCTCTAGACCTCTGTTTAGGGGTTTCGATGGATCGGTTGCCTTCGTCGCCCAGCAGCAGCAAGGTAGACTATCCACCTGTTTCGAATTCTCTTATGGCAGCCATAAAGAGGTCGCAAGCGAATCAGAGACGACAGCCGGAGAATTTCAATTTTTATCAACAACAGCTTCAGAATCAGTCAGCTTCTTCTTCTTCAGTTCCAGTAGTCAAGGTTGAGCTACGGAATCTCATAATATCTGTCCTTGATGACCCTGTTGTAAGCAGAGTATTTGGGGAAGCTGGTTTCAGGAGTTGTGATATTAAGCTTGCAATTCTTAGACCTGTTCATCAACTCTTCAGATATTCAAGATTCAAAGGACCACCCTTGTTTTTGTGTAATTTAGCCAATCAAACCGATCGAAGTTTTAGCTTCCCCTTCTTGGGATTCTCTGGGGGAGAAGATGATTGCAGAAGAATTGGGGAGGTTTTCGTCAATAACAGAGGAAAAAATCCACTTATTCTTGGTACTTGTGCACAGGGTGCTATGAACAATTTCCTTGAAATGATACAGAGTAACAGAGGAGGAGGAGGAGGAATCCTTCCTGTTGAGGTATATGGATTGAGTGTGATTTGTATAGAGACAGAGATCATAAGGTTTGTTAGAGGAGAATATGATGAGGAATTAATGAAGTCGAAGTTTGAGGAGATTGGAAGTATGTTGATGAATAATAGTTTAGGGTCTGGTGTTGTTGTCAATTACGGAGATTTAAAACTGCTATCAAGCAATGATGGTTATATTGATTCTTGCAGATATATTGTTAGCAAATTGACAAGTTTGCTACAGATTAATCATGGAAAACTCTGGTTGATTGGGTGGGTAGAAAAGTATGAGATATATTTGAAAGTTTTGAATAGATTTCCTTACATAGAAAAAGATTGGGAGTTGCAGCTTTTGACAATCATTTCTTCTGGAAATCCAAAGGAAGAAACATTTCCTAGATCCAGGTATACTGTTTTCTTCAATTATTTTTATTAAGCTTTTTAGTAAGTAATTATTGCACCATAGAAGTGGGACTCAGTATGATGTACTTTAGATATGCAGCATATCTTAGCTTTTTGATTCTTCTTTTCGTTTTTTAATGGTGTAGTTTGTTTGCTTTTTCTTGTCTGATACTGGTGAAGGACTTGTTAGAATAGACATAAGTAACAGAGTCGTTTGGGATAAGAATAAATAATCATGAGATAAAATTTTGATTGTCAAGATTGGGATAACTTATCCCATCATTATACCATAGTGCGAATAGATTGATATGCTAGTTAAATGATAAAGAGTTTATAGTTTTTGTTAAGGAACTTATATTAATTTTAATTTGTCTGGTAATATTTGAGGATTTTCTTGGTGAAGCTGAAATTTTTTCTAACATTAGAGGATTTGTGTGTATTAATGTAAACGAAAATTGCAAATACACCTAAACTTGCTTCGAATTTGTTGTTACACACTTATACTTTGCGGGGTGCTATTATCTCTTAGATTTTTTTTAAAACGAAATGAATACAACACTGGGTCAGCATAATCAATTTTTGGATATCGATGGGTATACACACGCTGCTACATGAAAATATCATAATTTTTCTATCTATTTTCTTATTAATGTTCCTTTGTTTTTCTTATGCTATTTCATTTTCTTTCTTTGTTCATTGTCATTATCGTTTTCTATAACTTTTTCCTGAGTCACTTTCCGATGATGTCCTCCTTTATAGCAGCTCGGTTGATCTTTTTTTAAAAATAAAATAAAATAATAATATTTTGTGACATTTTCTTTTAATATCCTTCTATTATAACCCACTATTATTTTGTAATTTTTATCCAAATTAGGAATGATAAAATTAACTCAAATTTATATGTACGCCCACCAAGTTTTAATAAATTTGAGATAGAGTAACCAACATGACTTTGTAAAGATAATGTAACGGAGTTTGAGTGGAAGTCTATTTGTATTTATTTACTGATTGTTAGGAATCAATTTAGAAGAAGTCGTACCGTGACAACTTTGAAGTCCTATTCTCCAAGAAACTCATGTAGCGTTTTACTCCCAATGTGAGATTTCTCAGCTCGAATTCAAATTTAATCGGGTTTCAATATGAATATGGGACACCGGATGGAAAACAAAATATAATAATTTTGAAAGAGTAATTTTGATGATAAATTGCTTTGGGATAATCCAAATTGACCCATTATAAATTACTAGCTCAAATAGATTCATCATGACGTGGGATTTTCGATCCATGTAAATATTTAATTTTAGCTTCAGTTCAACTTTATATTAAATTTTTTGCATATGAATAATTGATTTTCATTATCATAGACGGCTATTAATCTAGATTACTATAATTATTATTATTGGTGAAATATTACTATGACCTTTTTCTAGGTATTTTTGGATAATCAAGATCTTGAGTTTAAATTTTGGATATAGAAAAAATCATAGTAGGGAGTTGAATCGGTGTTACAATGTTAAAGCTATTGGGTTGGTCCGGACCCACCCATGTGATTAACATGTTTCATTTGATGTGTTAATTACATAACAGGTTGATGGAATCTTTTGTGCCATTGGGAGGATTCTTTTCTACGGCAACTGGTGATATTAAAAGCCCGTTAAGCAGTTCATACCACACTGCATCCCGGTGTCACTTATGCAATGAGAAATGCAAACAAGAAGTAAATGCTCTCTCAAAATGTGGATTAATAAGCACTGCTTCAGTTGCAGATCACTATCAATCAAGTCTGCCTTCTTGGTTGCAAATGACTCAACTCAACACTAATGGAGGACTCGACCCTATCAAGGTCTGTCTTTCTCACAATTCTACTCCATGACCTCTCTTTGTTTTTCTTATATCTATGCCCTCCAACTTTGGATTTGAATAAACAGATACTTAAACTTGTATAAAGTTGAATAAGTAGACGCACACATCCTACTTGTACATACTTAAAGTTGAAGGGCCTATATGTCAGCTGAAGTCAAGTTAAATGAAAATACACATGGAACTCCCAACACGAGTATAATAAATGTATTCTAATCATGTAATAACTTCTTTATATGGCTTCAGTGCAGGCCAAAGATGATAAAATGGTATTGGGTGCTAAAATTGCTGGTTTGCAGAGAAAATGGGACAATCTATGCCAGCGTTTACACTACAATCAACCATTACCCAAGACAAGCAACTTTCACATGACTTCTGAATTCCCATCAGTTGTAGGCTTTCAAGTTGTTGAAGACCGAAAACAAAGTCTCAATAACGAAATCATTGAAACTAGGAGGAAGAAAATGACTTGCACAATTTCTTCATCAAATGAAAGCAGCATTTTTCTCTCCAAAACGCGGTCACAAGGTGATGATGACCATGGCTTTAACTCTTCAACCTCTCTAACTTCAGTCACAACAGATTTAGGTTTGTGCATGGCCTCTACTTCTCCAAGCAAAGAACAAGAGCACCTCACAATCCACAGTAGCATTAATCAACCACATGACATATCATGCAGTGTTGAGGCGCCTCGTTTCATTAACCGCTCTCCTCTTCAGCAGCAATTGGATCCAAAAGATTTTAAGATGCTATATGCAGCTCTTATAGAAAAGGTTAATTGGCAAGAGGAGGCTGTAAATGCCATTAGCCAAACAATAGCACGGTGCAGATGTAGAAATGAAAGAAACAATTGTCCAAGTCGAGGAGACATCTGGCTCAACTTTCTTGGACCTGATAAGCTCGGTAAGAAGAAAATTGCAATTGCATTGGGTGAGATTCTATATGGAAGCACAAACAACTTAATCTGTGTAGACCTAAGTCTACAGGATGAAGTCGGGTTGTTTGATCTTCAAGTATTGAATCAATACGACGTGAGATTCAGAGGGAAGCATGTTGTTGACTATGTTGCTGATAAACTGAGGAACTGCCCTTTATCTGTTGTTTTCCTTGAAAATGTGGATAAAGCTGATATACTGATGCAGAAAAGCTTGTCCCAAGCTGTTAAGACTGGTAGATTTTTGGACTCTCATGGTAGAGAAGTTAGCATAGGTAATGCAATCTTTGTGACGACGTCATCAAGATTAGATGAAGAAAGAACTCTTCCTTCTACCAAAGAAACAGCTGAGTATTCGGAAGAAGATATATTGGCAGCTAAAGGTAACCAAATCCAGATACTAATTGCTTTTGATCTTACAGATGATGTCAAAAGTCCAAACTCAACTGCATTGATAACAACTAGAAAAAGATCTTCTAGCCAAATCTTTGTGAATAATAGAAAGCTTATAACTACTGGTCCAATTGAAAGTGTAGATCAGCAATTTGGAAGCTCGGAGATGGCCAAACGAGCCCACAAGACATCAAACACATGCTTAGATTTGAATCTTCCAGCTGAAGAGATTGAAAATTATGAGAACTTTACTGGAGATTCTGGCTGTGACTTTTCCAATGAAAACACCACAGCATGGTTGAAACAATTGTTTACACAATTTGATGAGACCGCGATTTTTAGGCCATTGGATTTAGACTCTCTTGCTGAGAAGCTATTGAAGGAGATGAGACAATGCTTCCACAAAATTGTCGGTCCAGAATGTTTGCTAGAGATTGACTCAAAAGTAGTGGAACAAATTCTGGCAGCAGCATGTTTAAGTGACAGCAAGAAAATAGAAGATTGGATTCAACATGTTCTTGGAAGGGGATTTGTAGAAGCTCAAGAAAGATATAGCTTAAGTGCTCGATCTGTCGTGAAACTTGTGACCTGCGAGAGCTATCTTCAACAAGTTCATATACCGGGAGTTCTCCTTCCTGGCAGAATCATCGTGAATTAGCTAAAATCTAAGTTTCTCTATTTATAATATGTAATATACAGTGTATTCACATTTTAGCACACCTAGTTAATTATGCTTGTGTTACCGGATTTATCCCATGTTTTATTGGGCTTGTGCAGGTCACGTTTGTTATAGTTTAAGCCATAAATTGTAAGATTTCACCTTAGCTAATTCAGGTATGAACTATTTATGTGTTATGAGTTGATCATTCTTTCCTATTATTACCATTGGGTTTTTTGCTCTTTCTAAAAATCCACGCTGATGCTCTTATTGCAATACCCCGTACTCTCGGGTTAAGATTAAACTCTTTCAATGCAGCTAATTAGGCTTGAGCCTCATAGAATTTGGTTGTGCCTATTAACTATCTTTATGTATTATCTGTTGTTACTAGTTGTCATAGGTTGAATTAATCTCCTGATAGTTGGAGCATATTTAGGAATAGGTAGTTGTTAGCTTCAGTTAGTTGTAGCTAATGTGCAGATAGTAGCCTGCACTTTAGGTCCAGTTAGTGGCATAGTTTGTATTTAAAGACTTGCTGCCACATTTAATAGAACTGGCTTTACGGCACATGTGTATCGTATATATAATATATGATGTTGTAAAATAGAATTAATATTACTAAATTAAAGCTTTTTAGTAAATAATTATAATTGAACAAAAATAGGACAAATGTTTTTAGATTATTAATACATATTGTCACAGAGTTACTTGTATTTTGAGATCAAAATGACCAGATATCATTAAAACATTTCAAAATACATTCAAAGTTTAAATATGGAAGAAAGTGACATTTCTTTAATAATATTATTTCTTACTTCACTCAATTTTGTAAACAAATCTAACCAACAAAATAGAAAAAGAATATTCATTCAAAAAATATCACCAATAATCTTTCCTCTTGAGGTTATGAACATAAATGATGTAAACCATTTAAGTAGAAATTTTGTCTTAAATATTCATACTTCGAATTTAGTATGTGCATGACATTAATAAGAATTACCATAAGTATTTCAATATTTTATCTTTATATGTAACATATCATTTATAAAATATTATTACTCAATTAATAATTGAGTAAGCCTATCATAGAGAGGTAATTTTTACCAAAAAAAGTGTACTTGGTTGTTATCATGAATGATTGTTATATATATTTCAGTAGAATAATTTAATTTTAATATATGAATAACATCACCTATGGTGAAAATATTTCGTTTCACTAAGTTTCTACCTTATCTTTGTGGAATTGTAGTCTTCTCCTTTTTTCTGCCGCATATATATATAATACAGTTGTTTCCTAATGAAAGTATCTTGTATCTTATAGAAGTTGTATCATGATATAAAATATTTAAATTTTTCAATGATAAAAATTAATAGATGAATAAAATTTAAAGTATTATTTATAGAATCATTAATTTAATTTAATACCATCTTATGATCAATCACTATTTTCTTATCTATTTTTATATATCTAGTAAGGAGTGTATCTTGTGACATAAAGAAAAATTATATGGAACAATACATAGTCAATAAAGAAGGAAGACGAAAATATATGTTCATTCTATATTCACTCTAGTGTTCCATTTGATTTAAATCTTTTGCCACCAACACTTTACTTTCTTCGTTCATTTTTACATACATATCCATTAAAAATAATTATTATCATGGCTATGTTATCATATTATAAGTAAAAGTAAAAATCTATTTTTGAAATAGTGAATTTAACATCAAAACTAATAATTCAATGGACTACGTTGATACCCACTGTTTTAGAAAATTAAGAAGAAACTCCTTCGTTTGAGGGAAAAGAACAAAAAATAAAAAAACAAAGATGAAATATCTTACCCAAATCATATGCTTTTTTCATATATGTTTAATATTATTGTCTCTGTCATAACTTTCCGTCACTATTTACTCATGAAAATGGTAAGAAAAATATGAGTGTGGATTGATGAATGATTTGCTACAATTTTTCACCAACTCTTTCTTATGAAGTACCTCAAATTTTGTTGAATTTCGAACTTAATCAATTTTTGCAAATAACACTTGAGATTTTTTAAGAAGAAGAAAAGTAGAGAACTTAAAGAAATTGTAGTTTAAAAGTGTGAGGAAACCCCTCTATTTATAGCTACCAAATAGAAGTATGAATAGGTGTTAATTGTGTCTTATCTGAAAAGTCACAACCTTTCGAAAAAATCACTACTTATCGGAAAAGTCACAACCCTTTGAAAAGGGCACAACTCATCAGAAAAGGCACAACTCTTTAGAAAAGTCACAACCCTTCGAAAAAATCACAATCCTTCGGAAAAGTCACAACTCATTGATAAAGTCACAATCCATCAAAAAAGTCACAACCCTTTGGAAAAGTCACAACTCATTGAAATAGTCAAAATCCTTTAATTTGAAAAGGTATCTACTTTCAATATAATAAAAATAATTAAATTAATAAAAAAAAATTGAGTGTTTTTAATTGGGGTATTATAGTAAATCAGCATTCAAGTTTTGGAGTTCATGTTTTTAAGGTAGTATATGTATTATCTTTTTGACCTTCTAATCTGAATCCTCATATGGTATCAGAGCACCTATAAGCTCCACCGAATTAGATCTATCTCATTCCTTTAAAGCCTTCTCATCTATGGCTCCAGTTTTTGATGATACTGCTGCCAGCAGTTCTGCAGTTTCTGCCACTACTCATGTGGTGTAATTTAATCCTGTTGCTCACCTCTCAAGATACAAGGTAACCTCAATTTTTCAACATGAAAAGCACAACTTGTGATAATACTAAATGGTCATCAACTCATGGGACATCTTGATGGAACCATAACAACTCCATCATCTACTAGTACCCAAAATAATCTTACTGTACCAAATCCCAATTATCGGATTTGATTCTCTCAAGATCAATTGATTCAACAAGCAATGATGTCATTTATCGATCCTACCATTGCACCAACCGTTGTTGTAGCACCATATGCGAACAAAGCGTGGGAACTACTTCACACAACTTACGCCAACAAAAGTCATACTCACATCTTTAGCTTGCGAGATCAATTGCAAAATACCAAGAAGGCTTCTAAAACCATTGTTGAATACTTCCAGGAGGTTTATTCTCTCTCTGATGCTTTCAAAGTTGCTAGTTCACATGTTAATGATGATGAACTTATTGTCCAAATTCTAAGTAGCCTTGGCCTCGAGTACCGTGAAATCTTTGTTGCAATACGCGCACGAGACTCTTCCTTAAGCTTTGAAGATCTGGAAAATCCATCCTCTATGATCATAATTGTTGTTGTCCAAAAGTCCAGCACGCCTCCGCAATTCAATAGGAACAATCCTCGCTTCAACAATCAACCATAGAAACCGTCTCAGTCTTGACAATGGAGTTCTAATAATCACTAATCAAGTTCCAACAATCAACAAAACGGGAGACAATTTAAACAATTTGTCAAATGTCAATTGTGCCAAAAGTTTGGCCACACACTACTAAAAAACTGCCAAAAAGAGACGGAAAAAAGTGTCAGACTACATCACTTTTTGGCCAAAAGCGACGCAGTCAATCTCGAATGCGACATCGTCCGTTGCTTTTCTTATTTTTTTTTAATTTTAAAAAAGAGACGAAGTCCGTCACTTTAATTAATTTTTAATTTTTTTAGAATCTTGAAATGCGACAGACAATGAGACGCCGTCCGTCGCTTTTTTGGAAATAAAAATTTGAAAAATCCAGAAAAGCAACGAACTAAAGGACCCTGTCCGTCGCTTTTCTGTGTTTTTTAAAAAATAAAATTAAAAAAAGCGATGGACTAAAGGACCCTGTCCGTCTCTTTTCTGGGTTTTAAAAAAAATAAAATCCAGAAAAGCGACAGACAAAACCACCTTGTCCGTCGCTTTTTCTGTAATTTTTTTGATTCTGCTGCCCACCTGCAAAAACAATTCAATTCAATTCAGTTAAGCCCCAATCCAACACAAAACATTATAAAGAAGCTACACAAAATATAAAACAAAAAACTTAAATTAACATTCAAAAATATCTAAATCATAATTTAAAGACTTATAAAGTCTTTCAAAATTCTTTTCAAAATTACAAAAAATTTGTTTCAAAATTACAAATAGTTTATAAAGACTATATTTTATCAAGAGTTCTAAAGTTCAACCTAATAATTAGTTCATAAATTCTATAAATCAAAATTTCTAGAGTTCACAACCTAAAGTTTAAAATCCTACAATAATTCAAGATTTCTAAAGTTCACAACTTAAAGTTCTAAAATGCCACAATAATTCAAGATTTCTAAAGTTCACAACCTAAAGTTCTAAAATCCTAAAATAATTCAAGATTTCTAAAGTTCACAACCTAAAGTTCTAAAATCCTACAATTATTCAAGTTCTCTAAAGTTCACAACTTAAAGTTCTAAGATCCTACAAAAAATCAAGTTTTCTAAAATTCATAACTTAAAGTTCTAAAATTCTACAATAATTCAAGATTTCTAACGTTTCACAACTTAAAGTTCTAAAATCCTACAAAAATTCAAGTTCTCTAAAGTTCACAACTTAAAGTTCTAAAATCCTACAATAATTCAAGATTTCTAATGTTCACAATCTTATAAAGTTCTAAAATCCTACAGAAATTCAAGTTCTCTAAAGTTCACAACTTTAAGTTCTAAAATCCTACAATAATTCAAGATTTCTAAAGTTCACAACCTAAAGTTCTAAAATCCTACAATAATTCAAGATTGTTAATGTTTACAATCTTATAAAGTTCTAAAATCCTACAATAATTCAAGATTTCTAAAGTTCACAACCTAAAGTTTAAAATCCTACAATAATTCAAGATTTCTAAAGTTCACAACTTAAAGTTCTAAAATCCCACAATAATTCAAGATTTCTAAATACTTTCTCCTTTTCTCTCTCGGCGCACGTTAGTGTGCACTAACTTGCACCTTGCCAGAAATGGGGAGGGGACGACCACAAAGAGCTAACCAAAGGTACCATGAAGAGGAGATACACCATGG